ATTTCTACATTTCTGTTTTTTCTGTCAAGATGGGGTGTACATGTATATAATGAGAAATAAAATGAACTTTTTTTGATTTTAGCAAATGGCTGCAATGAAACAAAGAGTGACACATTTAAAGGGGTCTGAATACTTTCCGTACCCACTGTAAATAAAGAGAAGTACTAAAGACAGAAATTGAACTGCTGTGACAATGCAAATATCCCTCGATTGTTTAGGGATAACATTTATAAATCATTTAAAAAAAACGAAATAGCTTTTTAGACTTTTCTGTTAGTATCACAGTCTGAATTACCTATTGTTTTGAAATATTGTCAGATTATAATTAATTAATAAATCTTACCTCCCTTTTCCAAACCAGTTGCCAATGCATGTCACCACACTGGGCCATCCGGTGGTTTGGACCAACCCATTGGCCACCTGATCAAAACAGAACGCAAACATTTAATTGACAAGCAAATGCTTTATAGACATTTACTAAAAAGGGGGTGGGCAAAATTCACTTTCAGGCAAATTTTGAAGTTATCAGAATTATGAGCTTTCAGTCAGCTTAATTACCTTCTGCTCTAGCCAAAACCTGCGTCATACTCGTACACTATAAACTGCAAATGACACGCTAAAGTTTAATTTCCTACAACAATTCAGCGTTACGTTAGAAAAACATGTTTTCAATCCGTTTGAGTTGCGCTTACCTATAATAATTACCATATACTTTCCGGACTATAAGTCATTTTTTGATCCTTTGGCTGGATTTGCGACTTATACTCAGGTGCAACTTGTTTGTTATTTTCACACTGACAGCCGCTAGAGGGCACTCTAGGCTTGTGTACCAGTATCTCCTACTACTCCTTTACCACTGAAAATTGACATGTTCCTTGTTGTGATCCCTAATCCAAAGCGCTGACGTTGTGAAGATACTTACATAAACTTTCCATGAGGGCAATAAGACACTGAAATGTTGGAACATATCTCACGGTTCCTTACAAAACTAATTTGCTGGAAATCAATAACAAGATCTGTTTGGATTAGAATTCTTGTAGACCCTTCATCCTTTATCCATTATTAACCCCATTCTTAAAGCAAATGTAGCAGCCTATGCTTACGTTATTCAAGACAATGCATCTTACCTGAATAAATATATAAAAGCCCATGCTGTGAATGTTGTAGATTTTACCCAGTCCAAAAAGGCAGGTGAAAAACCCACTGGCCAGCATGCCCATGGTCAAGTATAGTCGAATAGGCAAACGCTCTCCAATAATTCCACTGTATGGGTACACAATTTCAGTGTCACATTAGTAGAAAATTAGTAGAAATTAGTAGTGTCTGCAAAAGTCATCTGCTTTGAAAATTCATTTATTTATTTTTATTTTACCCCAAATTGGTAAAATAAAAATAAAGCAAACTTTCTCATTTTCAAACTGGTACTTATATTTTTTAAATAATCTATTTTACGGTTACCAGAGATGAGATTAGGTCACTAATGTGTAAGTTTTAAGACTCAAGTCTTAACCCTTAGATGAATACCTCATTTCGGCAACTTAAGCTTAAACAACTCTATTTACATGTCAAGTCCAACTCATCCTGAAATGCCATCTTACCTGGATGATCCGATCTGGAAAAAAGACAGGATATATTAACTGTCAAAGATATTGACAGATAAATTACAACCCTATTTTATAGTATAAATAACAATAATTATAATAATTACAAAATTAATTAGTCCTTCGTGTATGTGTATACTGTTTATAGGTATATATGTGTAAATATATATGTATATACAAATATATATGATATATATATATATATACATATTTACATATATAGCAAAGAAAATGAAAGGAGTAAGGGTTTTACAAAATACTGGAGAGATAAAAGGGGAGGAGGATTAATAACAGTTGGCTAAGCAGAAAGATAGAACTAAAACAATTGTACCCTAGTCCAGAAATTATGGTAGTTCTTTGCGGAGATAATGATAAGATAAAGGGGAGATAGAGGAAGTCTGTTGAAGGAAAGCTAGATAGGAGAAAGTATGGCAAATATAATATTGTGACCGACCAAACTAGATAGATAAGTAGGTAGGAAGGTAGGTAGATACGGGAGAAATAAGGGTAATAAGGGTCCTAATTTCCTTAATTTGTTTTGGGGATTGGTTATTGGCAAATTCTTTTATGTGAAACTGATCATATCTACCAATCTAATCTGCCTCCGCAAAAGTCTGAAAGTCACCAACTGTCCCCTTCCGCTCTGCTGTGAGAGGCCCGCCGACCAGGTTACGTCCGTCTGCATGTGTCTACAAGACAACAACCATCTCCAGGAAGCATGCTCAAGCAAGCATGCCGTCGGTGTGGAAGGGTGCTCTTTTTATTTGTAATACATTTTAAAGTCTGTTAGGTCATTATATAATTTCATTTATTTTAATTATGTATTCAATTAAGGGAAGAGTTTTTGCAGTCTGTTCCAATTACATGTTTCCAGTTAAGGCTATTACTAAGTTGGCAATAGACTGTTCAAACATTGTTAATACACGGACGGCGGCAACATTTACACAGCGGCTATACTGTACAACTACGGAGCCTCTGGATGTGGCGCATTCTTGTCCCATTCGCACGGACACGCATGGTTAAATCCAGGCTTATATCCAGTGTGTCATCTGAACGGACCAAATTTGGAGTTATTTCAATTGAAACATTTATAATTAGAGTTTGAATCATTACATTATGAGGTATTTGCTGATATTCAATCCAATATGGCATGCCTCTTATGTTAGATGGATAGATAGATGACACACGAATATGTAATATACAATAAAATACAAACATGAGTAGCAGCACACTGTCAATGAATATGGGTCACCTGAACAGTGGATGTTAGTAGTTTAGTAGGTTAGTAGTATTAGTAGATCAGTAGGTGATTATTGTTGCCGTGTATTGTGTTGTTGATTGCAATCTCAATTATTACGTATTATTATATTTCAAGTATACCATTATACCATGTTAAAATCAAACTTCAATACTTGTTTTCATTATGACTGTATGTAACATTGTAATATTGATGCCCTCCATACATTAATAGCCATTGGGGCTACTGGCTAATACGCATGGTCAACTGATTTGACCATGCCCACATTCAACCACTCAATTCAACTGACGGTAAAATGTGAAAGGTTTCTATTTTTGTGTGGGTCCGGGAAAAATAATAATATTAGGAGCCTTTACAATGGTCCGGGACACATATCGAAGGAAAATAATAATATTAGGAGCCTTTACAAAATAATCTTTACACTGCTTAGTATATGGGTCAATAAAGAGTAAAAAAAACAAACAAAAACAGGAAAAAATGTATCCTCAGTGATAACCAAGAAATACAACCAATAAAGATTAAAAAAACAAAAAACAGGAAAAAATTTATCCTCAGTGATAACCAAGAAATACAATGCAACATTAATTTTTGTTATCTCACCTGAGGTACATTCCACATGCATAAGCGCAAAGAAAGGAGTAGTCCATGGCACCAAGCAGCTGTTTGTAGTTGCTTTTATCTACAAGGTTAAAAAAGTAAAAAAAAAGGTTAAAATAATACAGGGCTTAGTATCCCCTTAGAAATTAAATTGAATTAAATTAGAGAAAATTAGTAAACCAGCCACTAGGGAACACTAAGGTACACAAGCCAGTGCCACTATAGTGATACTATAGTGCCGGTCCCAAGCCCGGATAAATGGTGAGGGTTGCGTCAGGAAGGACATCCGGTGTAAAACTTTTAGCCAAATCAAATATGCGAATGACTAAAACAGTTTCCATACCGGAACGGTCGAGGCCCGGGTTAACAACGACCGCCAACAGTGCTGTTGACCTACAGGGTACTAGTGGAAATTGGACTACGGTTGGTCAAAGACAAAGAAGAAGCGGAGGACGATTGATTCAGACAAAAAGAGAAAAGAGGAAGAATAGAGGTGTTGGTCTGAAGTTTGGAACTCTGAATGTAGGTACAATTACAGGGAAAAGTAGAGAACTAGCTGATGTGATGGAGAGAAGAAGAGTAGACATTTTGTGTGTGCAGGAGACCAGGTGGAAGGGCAGCAAGGCTAGAAACATTGGAGGAGGCTACAAAATGTTTTGTCATGGTTCAGATGGGAAGAGAAATGGAGTAGGGGTGATCCTAAAGGAAAAATATGTAAGAAATGTAGTGGAGTGAAACGAGAGTCAGA